AGGGAAGGATTAGCTGCTTTCCAATGGTTGAAGGGTTATCCTGGTGAAAAATTCTCTGTGCTTACAGAGGGCAGAGCTAGGACCAGTGGGTGGCAACTGTACAGAGGCAAATTTGAACACAATAGAAGGAAGAACTTAGGGTTTAGCACTTTTTGTCTTATGATACAGTGAATTCCCTGGATGTATTCAGAGACCAGATCACAACATGTCAGTGGGTCAGGAGATCCATGGTTGCTGCTAGAGAGGGGACCATGTTCTGATCAGTCAATCAGTAAGCAACTGTAAAGTACCTACTATGTATAGGTGATAAAAAGATAAAATTAAGAAATTCCCTGTCCTTGATGATCTTACATTCTATTCTTCCATCTCTAAGATTCCATAATTCTATGACTTCTGAAGGACTATGGTGTAGCAGAGGTAAGCAACAATGCCTTTGGCCCAAATGGAGATGCTATAAGTTTAAAGATAGAATACAAAATGATTCTAATTCCTTTTCTGGGAACTTTCAGAATCTTTTCTTAGCTTTGCTTCCTTCAACTCTGAAAACTTTAATTTTTTTCTCTTTCTAATTTCAACTATCTAACTCTCTTTGGAAAGTAGGGAGAAGATCATTCTGGATAGAACTCCTTTCTGACCTTGGAGATATCTCCAAACTGAAATTCTTTGATTCTGTGATATATAATTATTTGTACAAGGCCTAAAAAAGAAAAAAAGCATCAAGGTCCTAAATAACTTACTTTCTTAGGAATTCACATTGTCGAGTCAAGTACAAAAACAGTCATTTTGTTGTGGTTTCCCTCATCTGGTATCTGTTTCCAAAACAATTTTGTTTTCATAGCTCAATCTGTATGTTTCAATACGGCCATGGTCCCACTGGTATAGATGTCTCTGGTGCAGAATAATTGAATTATTCTACATATTAAACTACATAATCAAGAGAGTTTAGTTTTTACAGTGCCTGGATAAGAGTTAAGTTTGTGACATCAACTGAAAAGCATTTATTTAGCTTATTGGATATTGCCAGGTACACAGAACATTTCACTTATGTGTAAGGGGAAAGAATCTAAAGATGTTTTGAAAAATTGTGGCATTGGTGAGATTTTTTTTTATAAGGGAGAAGTCTGGAATAACTCATAGCACAAAAGTTTTACTAATGGTGGGTTATTAATCCCATTTAATGATGAAATTATTATTATTATTATTATTATTATTGTTATTGTTGTGAAAGTTGGGAAAGTGATCTGAGATATATGCAATTAGCAAAAATAAGGAGAAAGAGTAAAAGAAATAGGTTATGTCAACAGAAGAGTAAAGGCTTAAGGATGGCAGAGAAGAATTGTCTTCAAATGGAAAGGGAGCAGTGGATAGAGCTCTGGCCTTGGAGTCAGGAAGACCTGAGTTCAAATCCAGCTTCAGACATTTACTAGCTGTGTGACCTTGGGCAAGTCACTTAACTCCAACTGCCTCGAAAAAGAAAAAGGAGAAAAAAGAAAAGAAAAGAAAGCTGGAACCAGAAAGGACTTTAGAGAAACTTGAGTAGTGAAAAATCAATGATCATGAAAAACCAAGTTTGACCTTTATAGGCAGAAAAGCATGCTGGTGCTGTGGAAAGTGTTAGACTTAGAGCTGAGGAAGTGAATTCAACTCCTTCTTCTGCTGTATACTACCTCTATGACTTTGGGTGTGGCATTTAACTTTTCTGCCTCAGTTGTTGTTGTTTAATCTGTAAAATGAAGGTGTTGAACCAGATAACCTAAAGCTCTCATTCATTATTCATGATATCAAAGACTACCAATCCCATCATCACCATCGTTAACATCATCCACTGGCACTCATCAATTGTCTCCTATGTTCTAAGCACTGTGCTATGTGCTAGGATTACAAAGAAAGGCACATTGTAATAGAGGAGACAATGTACAAACAATTATGCAAATACAAAATATGTACAGTGCAAATGGGAAGTAATCTCAGAGAGAAGGGAGTAACAAGAAAGACCTCTTGATAACAAGTGGGATTTGAACGAGTTTGGAAAGAAACCAGAGGAACCAGAAGGCAGAGGTGAGAAAGAAGAACACTCCAGCTATGGGGGACAATCAGTGAAAAGTTACAGAGTCAGGAGATGGAGTATCGCATCATAGGAACAGTAAGATATGTAAAATCCTAGAGAAAGTAGAGGAGAGTAAAATGTTAGTGAATTGTGGGGAAGAGAAGACTGGGGGAGACGAGTGGACATCATAGTGAATATATGAAGGGCTCTTGTAAGTTACAAGAATTAGATTTGTTTTCTTGACTCCCAAAGGCTGAATCAAAGGCAGTAGTTGGAAATTATAAAGAAGAAAATTAAGTCTTGATGTAAGGAAAACTTTCCAACAGTGAGAGATATCCAAAAATGGAATAGGCTACTTCAGGAATTAGTGGATGCCTATCATTGGACATCTTCAAACAAAGGCTGCATGACCACTTGTCAGATTATTTGTATAGGAGATTATTTTCCAGATGTAGTTCAGACTAGATGCCTCTGTGTTCTCTTCTTACTCTGAGATTTGGTGAATTGTGGGGTGTATTGGAAAAGTAGCTTATTCATTAAAAATCTAATCTGGTCAAAAGTCTCTTGGAGTTTTTCATTTTTTTGTTTGTTTGTTTTTATTTATTTGTTTGTTTTTTACTAAATCTAGTCAAAACTTAGCCAGACACATCATAATGCTGGGAAATTTATAAGAAGTGGTGACTAAAGCCTCCATGCATCCGGCAATCTAGACTTACTGCAAATCACTGCATATATCCTGGGACACAGGGCGGGGATGGGCAAGGGTTGGGACAAAAAGCCTAGAAGTGATGAACTTTCCATCCAAACTTCCTTCTTCTAAAAGGGGAGGACATGAAAGGAAACATCCTCCTTCTCTGTGTGGTGCTCACTGAACACAGTGTTCTCCATGCTCCTCTGGGCACTTCGGGACATGTTGCGTAAGACCCAAGTCAGAAATCACATACTGCACGCTCATTTCAATTGTTCAACAAGCTCTTTCTTAGAGAGAAAGAAAAGAGCAACTCTATGTTCGTTGTGATTCATACCTACTCAGAGAAAAACTATTTTCAAAATTCTTTGTTTCCTCTAACATTCCTTGTATTGTACTTAGGTAACGTTTGAGAGAATAATTTCAATGAAATTGACAGGCCTGAAGAAAAAATGGTCCCGTGGGTCACCTTTAAAGTCCAAGGTATTTCGAACAATCTTTCTGATAAATACTACCCATTAGTAGGTGATTACTGACAACAGGATACATGTAGTTAATCAAAAATGAAATTGCTAGGTAGTTTAGAAATGATGCTTTGAAATAAATATTAAAACAGAAATAACTCAAAAATCAAATGAGTGGTCACAACAAATTTTCTTTGTTAACTATAAATGCAGCAACATCACATAAAACCACAGTTATTAAAATTATAAAGATACAAAAAAGTAATCAAGCAATCAATTAACAAGCACTTATTAAATGCCTGCTATGTCAGGCACTGGGGATATAAATATATAGAATTAAACAGTCTTTGTTTTCTTTTCGTTTGTTTGTTTGGTGAGGCAATTGAGGTTAAGTGACACAGTTAAGAAAACACAATGAACAGTCTCACTAGAGATGTGGAGGTAAAACGCTATGTCTACAGGGACTTAGCAAGTAGTTCATTTCAGTTACCATTCAGGCTGCATTGTGGGGAGTAATATGAGATAAGAAAGTAAAGATGGAGTGGTGGTAGATAGTGAGGAGCCTTCAATGCCTGGTTACAGAGCATGAATTTTACTCAATAGAACACAGGGAGTAATTAAGTGGTTTGGAGCAAAGAAGCTACATGATCACATTCGCATCTTAAGGAAAATAAGTCTAGTAGCATGTGAAGGACAGATTTAAGTGGGGAAAAGCATGGGGACAGAAAGGTCTGTTATGGGTGTGTAGCAATATTATAAAAGACGAACAACTTTGAAAGACTCAGGAACTCTGATCAAAAAAGGATGAACCACAATTCCAGAGGACTCATGAGGAAACATGTTACTCATTTCCCAACAGAGAGATGATGGACTTATAGGGTAGATTGAGGCATTAATTTTGAGAGGACACAGTTAATGCGGGGAATTTGTTTTGTTTGACCATACTTATTTTGTTGGTTTTGTTTTTTGTTTTTCTTGCTTTCTCAATCAGGGGGGTGAGAAGGAGGTGAAAGGGAGAGAATTCACAACTCAAAATAAAATAAAATAGAATCATTTTTTAAAATAAGAAAAAAAGAGTCTGTTGTAGTAGGCAAGGGGGCTAATAATGAACGCTTCTACTAAGGGGGTGGCAATGGAAATGGAGGAAATCGATGTGAGATACGTTGCACAGTTAAAATTACAGGACTTGAGAAGCAAGAGATGTGAAAGATAATTTCTTAAGCACCTACTATGTGCTAGTCATCGTGCTGGCATAGCACAAATGCTCTGAACACAAGAAGCTGACTAAATCAATGTGTTACAGAGAAACAGTGAAATCAAGAGGAATATGTTTTGGGGAAAAGATTATGAGCTAATTCCTGGATATGTTTTATGAGGGCTAGTGGGAAATCCAGGAAATGTCCTATCAACAACTAAAGCTTAAGAATAATCCATAATACCCACTTAACTAGAACCCCTCATTTCCTTCCTATTCCAGATAAACAGGAGTCACTGTGGCTTGTGATGAGAATCCAGGATGGAGAATAAAGTCATTTCCAGGAAGTCTTGACTAAGTGATAAATCTGTGACCTGTGGCATAAAGAAAATTTAAATGCTACCTCTGGAGCAACCTAGAAGGAACTACTTAAGCCATTCTTTCTCCTAACGGATAATAATAAAAAGTACTTAGTTAATTTCTCTCAGAAATATAATTGTAAACCCTATTATTTAAAAAAAATGCACATCAAACCTTTGAAAAGTTGAAATAGTCTCATGATATCATGTGTTGCAGACTTAACTCATATTTCTAAGTATTACTTACTTATTGGCTTTCCTCTGAGAGGATATTTCCGCAGTTTTTCAATGATATCCACAATAATTAAGGACGCCAGAACCACTGATACTGGTAAGTCAGGTAAGGTGTCAGGTAGCACAGATGTGTTGGAGGCATTTTTTGGACCTGTTTTAAGGGAACCGATGAGAAACATTTACAGAACTGTCATTCTTCATTGAAATACCTTTACCCACTGTGGAACTGTCTTAAGTACCTTTACTGACATAAAAGGGGATTTTGTTCCCCTCCCCCCAGCTCAATTAATCATAAATGATGAATTGTTAATTAATTAACAAGGTGTTTATATCCAGTGATCCTTTCATAAAGTATGAAGACTTTTCTCTAAGTGAAGTGGAAGGGGGTCAACCCCATTAGCTGATGGAAGATGGTCACACTCATAAGTAATCCTTCAAGGATGATTTCAGTCAGGTGAAAGGCAGTTCTAACAGGAAGGCTAAGAAGTATCAAGCCCACTCACAAGCAATATGAGGATATCACGAAAAGTAGAAAGTCTTTGACCCACTGCAGTTCCAGATATACAAGTTACTTTGGTTATCCGTGTTCCCTATGCATATGACTCTCATGGTATAAACTAAATTTGTATCCACTCTTCTCACAAGTGCTGTGTATATTTGTAAGAGAGTACACTACACGTTTCTATGAGGGAATGTTTTGTACCTCCTGTTCTTACTATGCCATTTTAGTAAATGGGCTCTTCTGAGCAAAGATTCTTTTTATCTACTCGTTGACTATTAATGGACAACATACAAGTGGGGGCTCGCTAGTTATTAAGAAGAGGAGAAATAGGAGAATACTAGGAGAAAGAAGTGGAGGACGAGAAGGAAATGGAAGAGGAGGGAAGAAAAAAGGAAGAGGAGGAAAAAGAGGAGTCATGATAGTAGGAGGAGAAGTAGTAATACTAGGACAAGGAGGAATTTGGCCTTAGACCTACCAACTGTATGACCCTTGGCAAGTCCCTTGATTTCTGCCTCATTTTCCTCAACTACAAAATGAGGATAATAATAGCACCTTCCTCACAGGGCTGTTAGGAGGATCAAAGGAGATACCAGTAAAGTGTTTAGCAGAGCTTGACACATTTTTTTGTTGTTGTTACTGTTCAATTGTTTCCTCAGTCGTATCTGACTCTTTGCAATAATAGCTGCTTGTATAAGATGCTGGGATCATAGGATTTTAAAGTACAAAATGGCCTTAGAGATAATGGAGTCCAATCTCCTGTGACAGAAGAGGAAATTGAGCCCCAGAGGGGGAAAGGGACTTGCCCAAGGTCATAGAACCATAAATAATAGAGTTAAATTTAAACCCAGGTCTCCTGACTCCCAGGTCACCATACCATGTTGCCCTGTTCACAAAGTGCCTTAACTTCCGTCATCTCATTTGAGGCTCATTTTAACCCTGGGAGGGAAGGATGATCCTCCTTGTCCAAGAACACATGACTAAAAAGTGTTGGGACTAGAATTTGTTTCAATTAAATTAAATTTGGGCTTTTCTTGGCAAAGATACTGGAGGGGTTTGCATTATCCCTCTCCAGCTCATTTTACAGATGAGGAAACTGATAGGAACTTTTTCACCTCTTGTTCTCCTGTTTTTACAAAGAATGTTTCAATGGGAAGATGAGCGCTTACTGTAAACTGAAAGACACACAGGCATCAAGAACTCTTTCAAAGAAAAAGCTTCAAGGTAAAAGGAAACGAAGGAAAAAATAACTAGAAGGAGAAGCAAAGGACTCAATGTCACCCAATGGAAGTATCTCTATCTACGGCAAATGACAAAAGCTATAGAGCAGATCTCAATGCTAGTTCAGGTTTGGGGATACCAACAGAGAGTGGAGACCACAAATGATTGTGACGCAAAAGGCCTGCATTCTAGTCCTGCTCCGCCATCCTTTAGCTGTGGGCAAGTGACAATCTCTCTGGGTCTCAGGTCTTCATCTGTAAAGGATGGGGCTGGAGCTAGAAGGCTCTTCTAACGGTTCTAGATTCTGACACAGCATTTAATACCTGGAACAAATTCAATATAAAGAAATGATCTGTTTGTTTTTAGGGGCAGCTAGGTGGTGCAGTGGATAAAACACAAGGTGTGAAGCCAGGGACAGCTAAGTTCGAAATCGGCCTCAGACGCTACCTGGTTGTGTGATGTCGGGCAGATCATTTAACCTCTACTTCCTGCCTCAGTCTCCTCCACTGTAAAATGGGGATCACAACACCACCTCCCTTCCGGAGTTGTTGTGAGGATCACATGAGATAATATTTGTAAAACACTTAGTGCAGCGCCTGGCATGTAGTAGGTGCTTTATAAGTGCTAGCTATGATGGCAGTGGTGGTGGTGCAATGAAACAAACAATAACTGGAGTCAGAGAACACAAAGCTCAAATTTCACCCTCTACACTTACTTCCTGGGTGACCTTGAACAAGTCCCTTAACTTTCCCTGGCCTCAGTTTCCTCAACCAAAAAATGAGGAATTCAACTAGAGAGCTTCCTATAATAGCTCCCTATAGTTCCCTGTTCATAGGAAACAATTTCCATCAACCTTGCTACATACTCCCTCTCCAGCCCTAAGTTTCCATGTGGTGGCCATGAGAACATAAAGAAAATGATGGATACGAGTCCACCTTCCATGACTTTAACACGGCCCCTCCACATCACTGCCCATTGAAATACTTTTCTTCCTTCAAGGCCCAAATCAGATGCTAACTTTTCCAAAAAGCCTTCTGTGGTCTAACTTCTTTCATAACCAAAAGTCATCTCTTTGCCTCCCATTTCCTATGGCCTTTTGTGGTGATACCTCATTAGTTCTAATCACATTCTACCCTATATCATCTCTATAGCTTTTCATTACTATTAGATTTTAAGTTCCTTGAGGGATGGGGCAGTATTATTTCTCATCTTTACATCTCCAATGCTCAACAGGTACTTAATAAACATATATTGAATGAACGCTGTGTGAATTCTGAAAATTCACACATTACTTAGTGAATGTCTAGATATGCTTTCCAGTTTCAGGATTGATGATTTCTGATAAAACCATAGGACTCCCATGGTAGACGCTCAGTAGATTAATATTTGTTCATTTTTGTGCAAGGTTCAAAGAAAATGCTCTTGAGGCAGCTAGGTGGCATAGTGGACAGAGCACCAGCCCTGGAGTCAGGAGTACCTAAATCCAGCCTCAGAGAGATAACACTCACTAGCTGTGTGACTCTGGGCAAGTCACTTAACCTCAACTGCCGGAGAGGAGAGGAGAGGAGAGGAGAGGAGAGGAGAGGAGAGGAGAGGAGAGGAGAGGAGAGGAGAGGAGAGGAGAGGAGAGGAGAGGAGAGGAGAGGAGAGGAGAGGAGAGGAGAGGAGAGAAAAGAAAAGAAAAGAAAAGAAAAGAAAAGAAAAGAAAAGAAAAGAAAAGAAAAGAAAGAAAACGTTCTTAGTTTTCCACAGAACATCTGTTCGGTAATCTTGTGAATTTGCCTAGCTTACTTTTTGGACAAGAAAGCAACCTTTCCCATTGTTTGCTGCTGATTTAGTTATTTTTTGTTCATATGTGTCCACATAGAGAATACTAGAAGGTTCTGTTATTTCATCAATGTAAGAAACTCCCACCACCAATGCAGATTGCAACCAGTCTGACTTAGTAGACAAATGTCAGGGAGTTTCCTAAAGCACATAGAGGTTGGGTAACTTGCCCAAAGTCACCAAGTAGGATGGAGAGAGGACTAGACTTGGAGTCTGGAAGAGGAAAGTTCAAATCCTGCCCCAGACACTCTTACCAACTACATGACCCTGGACAAGTAACATAACTTTACTCAACCTCAGTTTCTTCTGTAGGAAGAAACTAAAATTTCATCTATAAAATTGGAATAATAATAGCAATTACCTCATAGGGTTATTGTCAAATGAGATGCTATATGTAAAATACTTTACAAATGTTAAAATGCTAAGTGCTAATTATTATTATTATTATTCATGATAATAACTGTTATTTTTATTATCATTATCAGAGGTAGGATTTGAACCCAAGTCTTTCTTACTGCAAGCTTAACACTCTGCATACAATGCTCTCTATGCTTCATGTCTTATTATTTGGGGCACATAACAAAAGTAGAACAAGAATGAAAAATAATTGTCCTATTTGTTAATCAGACTTAACAAACACGAATGATTCAGCAAAGGAAAAATAGAAATAGCAAGAGTTCTTAACTTTTGGCATCATGGATCCCTTTGGCAGTAGTGAAGCTGAGAGATATATTCTCAGAATCATGTTTGTAAATAATTGTAGAAAATGGTAAATTTCAGTTAGACATCAGTGGAAATAAAGATGTAATCTTTTTTTCTCATCCAAGTTCACAGACTCCCCAAAATCTATCAATAGAACTCTTAGGACAGGGGTTCTTAACCTGCAGTGTGTGAACTCAAAAAAATTTTTTGATAATTGTAGTTTATTATAATCGGTTTACTTTGTAATCTTATATCCTTTATTTCAAGGATTTCAAGCTCACCAGACTTTCAAAGGGGTTCATGACACAAAAAACTGTTACTATACCTGCCTTAGGATGTTTGTTGTTTTTCATCCTGAATTACCTTGAATATTAAAAGTTTCTAGAAATAAATATCAATGGGTAAAGGTCATATATACCTTCATGTAGCAAATCCTTCCAGCTCAGAATTAAAAGTTACACAGTAAATTATTCCTATAAGTCTAAATATCAGAAGATTGCAGTGTCCAGTGGGAGGACTAGTCTTCAGAAAATTATTCAAGTGGGCAAAGTCTGATGAAGAATCTTTTCCCATTTTGGTTTTTCTCTTCCTTCTTTTTGATGTTACCCTTCCAGGGGCATCTCACATGTCTTCCTCAATTGCCTATTTCCCTAAGTCCCACAATGAAATAATCCATAGAGACCCGCCCTTTCCTGTGTGCCCCAACCCTCTCCCCCCCCCACTCCTCTGCCACCCAAGCTTATTATTCTCATGTTCTCATCCCTATCTCCAACTTGACTGTAACAAGGGAAACAGTAGCCTTTTTTTATCCCCTCGGGGCCTGACTTTACCCAAAGTCAACAAGGAGAGGGTACAGATTAGAAGAGACACCCAAGGCCCTTTGTCCCTTTCCTCAGTAACACATGGTTTGTGGTAACATAATCCCGACTCTCTGTTGGTAATATTCCATTGATCTTGCAGAATGAAGAGGCCTACATTCAAAACTAGGATTTGCTTTTGAATGTTGGCTCTACTGTCTTCTGGGTAGCTTTAAGCATGACACTTAACCCCTCTGATATTCATCTCAAAAACAAAGAGGTTCTTAATCTGGGGTTCATAAGCTTTGAAAATATACATATACATGTACATATATACATACATACATACATATATATATATACATATATACACATACACATATATTGATAACTGTTAATCAGTCATTTCAGTCATGTCTGACTCTTTGTGACCCCATTTGGGATTTTCTTGGAAAAGATACTGAAGTGGTTTGCCGTTTCCTTCCCGAGCTCATTTTATAGATGAGGAAACTGAGGTAAACAGGGTTAATTGGCTTGCCCAGCATCACAGCTAAGAAGTGTCTGAGGCTGAATTTGAACTTGGGTTTTAATGACTCCAGGTGTGGCGCTCTATCCACTGCACCACCTACCATCTGCTTTGTAATTCTGTTGTTTTTCTTATTTTATTTTATGCATACCTATATGTATAAATTTTAATAGCATAAAACTGGATTAAGCCTTTTGGGACACCTTGTGTAAAAACATTATTCAGAGGCTTTACCAAACAGCCATCAGGGTTCCTGACATATGAAAGTTAAGACGCCTGGATGAGATGATCTTTGACGTCACTTCCAAATTCAGATTCTATGATCCTGTCATCCTGTCCCATAAGAATGATTCTACTGGCAGGAATTATGAGAGGGATTTAGAAGTAATGTGGCACAGTGAGAAAAAGCACTGAATTTGGAGTCGAAGGATCTAGGTTCAAATCTGCATTCTACTATGTACTACCTGGGTGATGCTGGCAAATCCTATGGCCACTGTTTTCTCTTCTGTAAAAAACCAAGTCTGTTGGACTAGATGCAGCAAACAGCTACAAAACTTCCCGATGCAAGGGGACAAGATTAAAATGTAATTGGGAGGGGCACCTAGGTGGCACAATGGATAGAGCACTGGCCAGCCCTGAAGTCAGGAGGACCTGAGTTCAAATCCGGCCTCAGACCAAACACTTCACACTTACTAGCTGTGTGACCCTGGGCAAGTCACTTAACCCCAATTGCCTAAAAATTAAAAAAAAAACCATAATTGGGAAATATTTAACAAAATAATAAAAAATAAAACTAGAGAGTAGGAATTTCTAAGTCAATATCTGGCCTTTCTGTTTCTATTTGAGTTTGACACCACTGGATTAGGTGATCTCCAAGGTCTATTCCAGCTCTAACCATAATTCAGTGGATTTTATGCCAGATAAGGAAAGGTGATATGGTGAGGGAGATTTGGGGGGAGGGCAGTCAGGGCCTTGGAGCACCCCTCAGTGAAGTCCATATTCTCAAAGTCCAAAGTTAGTCTAGACCAGAAAAACAGACTTACATACCTCTGTGACTGCTATAGAAAATGCAAAGCATGGAAGTGTTGTGAGTGCTACACACATCATCAAAGGAGGTCTCCTAGCAAGGAAGAAAATAAGCAAGTAAGCACAAGCAGTAACATACAGGATTACCACTTCCTGTTATATTTTGCTAATTCAAGGACAGTTTTTCTAAACAGTTCTTGCTTCCTTATTTCCATTTCCGAGATGTTTCAAAGTGGGGACACAGACGCACACACCCACACCCCAGATGATTTTTCTAGGAAAAAAGGAGCGAGAGATTTTGAAATAATGAGCAAAAGAAAGCATATGCACATCCATCATTGGAACTTCTAGCTTATAACAGCATGTAAAGTGACATTTACTGCCATCATATTTAATTAACCAAAATCTTGGTCAAGACTTCAGGATCTGAGACCAACACAAACAAGGAAGATTCTGGTAAGCTCACAGGATTTGCTTCTGGCTCAAAAACTGATCTCTGGGGAAAATAAGTAGCAATAATAAAAAAGCAGGCTTTTGTTACTGTCATTTAGTCTTTTTCAGTCATGTCTGACTCTTTGTGACCCTATTTGGGGTTTTCTTGGCAAAGATACTGGAGTAGTTTGCCGTTTCCTTCTCCAGTGCATTTTACAGATGAGGAAACTGACTTGCCCAGGGTCACACAGTTAGTGAGCATCTGAGTCCACATTTGAACTCAGGAAGATGAGGCCTGGCACTCTTATCCACTGTGCCACCTGGCTTCCCCTACCAGACCTCTAGGAACTTTTTTTTTTAATGGCATGGGCAAAAAGAGCATTAGATTTGGTGTCAGGAGATCTGGGTTCAAGTCCCAGACCCAGGTTTGTGGATATTTACTTTGCTAGATTACTTGGGGAAATCATTTTACTCCTCTAATCCTAGCTCCCTCACCTGGAAAACGGACTTAATGATAATTACACTGCTTAAGCTTGTTGAGGTTAAAAAAGCTTTGGAAACTGAAAATAAACAAGCATCTGTTAATCAATTAGTTAACAAATATTTATTAAAGAACCTACTCTGTGTCAGGCACTGTGCTAGGCCCTGAGGATATGAAGACAAATAAGAGATTTACAGTGAGAAAGGCCTGCAAATCCAACTCCATGTTTTTTATAGATCAGACAGACACAGAAGATGCCCAGAGAAAGGAAGTGATTTGTCCAAGGTCACACGGACAGTACACAGTCACCAAGTCAAGTCAAGTCAACTCTTATCATCTTTTAAGCACCTATTACGGAGAGATTGGAGGTCCAAAGCAGTGTAGAACTGGAAACTTGCTCCTGATTCTGAATCAATTGCACTTTGCACCTCTAACCACACTTCCTTACAAAGTCTCAACCTGTAAATCACTATGTAAATGTGAGCTCTTGGTTGCTTTTACAACACAGCCTTGTTTGAATTTTAGACAAGAACATTTTCCTTAATAAGGCACAAAAATTAACAGATACTTATTGAGTGAGTTTTTTTAGTTTCGTCAGTTTAGTTTTGTCAGAGTCTTACCCTTTACCTTGGAAACTAAAGTGGTTGATTGATTAGGATTTTCAGGTCCCCAAACTTGGCAATCTATCTCTGACCTCCATATATTTGGCAAGCTGTTCCATATACCTGGAATGCATTTCCTCCTCATCTCCACTTCAAGTATTTCTAACTTCCTTCAAGATTCAACACAGGAATCACCTCCTTTCTCCATGTCCCTAATTGTTAGTGCTTTGTCAAATTATTCCATTCTTACTTATCTATGTAAATGACATACTTCACTTTCCAGCAGAATATAAACTCCTTGCTTTGCTTAAAGTGGGTGCTGGATAAATGCTTGTTGAATTGAATATAATAATAATAATAATATTTTATAGCACTTTTTTTTGCAAAGCTCTTTACATTTAGTATCTCATTTCATCCTCACAACAACCATGGGAGGTAGATATTATTAACCCCATTTTACAGTTAAGGAAACTCAGTCCAAGAGAAATTAAGTAATTTGCCCAGGGTTACACAAATAGTAAGTGTCTAAGGTAGGCTTGAACTTGAGTCTTCCTGACTTCAAATCTAGGTGCTCAATCCACCGATACTACCTAGCTGTGAATTACAACTTTCAGTCTACAAACAGGAGTCATAATTCTCAATAGGATAAGAATAGTTAAAGCATTGTGAAAGTGAGTCTTATTTTCAGCATGGGTTGTGTCCCTTGGCAGCTGAAATTTCTGCCTTCATTTATACAACAGGACCTCAAGACCCAGATATCTGGCTTCCTGTTTATTGCTCCAAGTTCATGATCATATACAAAAGGACTCAAATGCTTCAAGGCAAATGTTACCCAAACTCATCATACAAGAGTGGTCTGACTTTCCTAGTCAAAGCAGGAGAGAGTCCAGGCGGTTACAGAATGACAACGGTGGTCAGGAAGTCCAAAGAAAGCTTATAAATGAGGAACTGTCTTTCCAAGCATAAAGTGCAGAGTCACACCTGGGGAGAGACATCTGAAACTTGAAAGCAAGAAGTTCACTTCCGGGAATGGTCTGAACAAACAAAAGCTTTATCTATAACATTGGCACATGCCACATCCAGAAGAGGCCCTTTGATCAGAAACGAGAGAAAAGCAAGGGTTATAAGACCCCTAGCCCAGCAGAGATGAAAATAAAAGAGAGAAGTTTTGATAAATGGCCTTATTTCTAACTCTCTCTTCTGGAAGTATCCAACTTGTTGCTTCCTGATTCTCTGCTAAAAAGGAAATTGCTGGCCTAATTACCACCAGAGTCTGAGTCTTTTCCAAGAATTTCAGTCAAGCTCAGGGAAATCCTAGGGAACTCAGGGTTCCCCCATCAGATCCTTCCTAAATCAGGAGAACTTTTAGACTGGGAACCATTTCCATAGAAGGGATCTCAAAACTTCCTTATCTAAATAGGGCTCCTCTGGATGTTGGAGGCCTACCTACCTGAGTTGAGGGAAGACTTTTTCATTTTTTTCTTATGAACTTAATATAACATTTCAATATACAAAGAACAGAGAGGATTGTACGTGAAACTGTTAAGTCTTATCAAATATGCTTTTTAAAGTTTGTATCAAATTTAATATGGCAATAACAAAATGGCCCTGCTTATCTGTATCCCCTTCTGCTTAGAGGAGAATTCATTCTTAGGGTAATAAAAATGGCGGGTCCCTAAATAACCGATAAGTATCCTTGGGAATCTAATAAGCCAAACTCCCCCAAAATCTAAATGTCTTGTAACATAACTCCAAGATGGTTAGTTTGTGGGTTTTGCTTCTGAAAAATTACAGCAATAACAATATGTTGGGAGCCACCTGTGGGTGGTGAGATTACATTCAGTATCTAGTGGTGTTCATAGAGCACTTCACCTTCTACTTCAGTCCTGGTATCTCTCTTCCTCTACTAGGAAGGACTTTTTTTTTTCTATTTCTAATCTTTCATATTTTACATTCAAACCCACATGTATATTAAACTGTACGATCTCTTATGCATTCTGTATACTTCAACCTCAAAATTAAAATGATAATCATAATAGAAAATATACATTTTTCCCAGAGGACATAAATAATGCATTAGAAAAGATCAGATCATTCATTAAAGTATGTAACCATATTTAGAACTGGGAAACTTGTTCCCATATGCTTTTTCCCCCTGATGTGTCAGGTGTCCTCATAGGTATATAAATGTGACCTCTATCAGTATAACTAATTGTAACTTCTCTTTAATTACATTAAGGTTCGCCTTTTTTATTTTAAAATGTTATCCAACTAAAGATTCAGAAAGAGGCACATTTTTGGACGTGGTGAATGCAGGAATGTTTTGCTTGATTATACTTATTTCTGTAATAAAAGTTGGTGGAGAGAGATGGGATGGAAAGAAAATGAATGTTTGTTCATTTAAAATTGTAAAATTTAATAAAAGAGTAAAAGTATTATCCAGGTTGTGGCTATTTGAAGCAATCATTTTCAAGTGATATAGACTTTATCAACATATTAAAGTGGTTATGAGTCAGAATTTATGAGAACTGCCCAATTAAAAATCACATACAGACAGACTGTCAGAATGCAGAGCAGACTGAAAACACAAAGTCATATAACAAATTTGGCTTTTCTTTACTGTTGTATAGGAATAAATTCAACTTCTACCTTCTTATATCTAAGGCTACAATAGGTAGCCTGATATTTAAGGCTACAATAGGTGTGTACAGTTTTGTATGTGCAAGAAATAGGTGTAATATTTAATTCTCCTACTGCAACATTTAAATTTTGTTGTTGTCTAGACCTGTGGTGTCATCAGTTAAGAGAAAGCCTAGTGAGGAAGCTCCTTCCCCAACCTAGACTGACACCTCATCAGCAACTACTAGTCTCAGAGAGTCAGCAGCTTGCATCACTATGGTAACGTGGTTTGTCTACAGTCCCAAAGCCAAAATACCTGAGAGGAAGGGCTTGAAGCTTGATATTCCTGAATCCAAAGTCAGTCTTCTATCCATTGCACTGGGCTGCCTCTCAGCATTTAAATACTGTTGTTTAGTGTGATCTCCTCAATTAATTCTCAACTCTGATAACAATTGAGAGTATTGTGAATTCATGTTAATTTTATTCATATCATTGATGATATACTTAGAGAATCCTAGAGAACCAACTAAAAAGCTGCTTGAAATAATTAACAACTTTAGCAAAGTTGCAGGATATAAAATAAACTCAGATAAACCAACAGCATTTCTAAATGTTACCAACAAAGCCCAGCAGCAAGAGACAGAAAGAGAAATTCCATTTAAAATAATTGCAGACAATATAAAACATTTGGGAGTCTACCTGCCAAGACAAACCCAGGAAGTATATGAATACGACTACAAAACACTTTTCACACAAATAAAGTTAGATCTAAACAATTGGAAAAATATCAGTTGCTCATTGGTAGGCTGAGCTAATATAATAAAAATGACAATTCTACCTAAATTAATTTACTTCTTCACTGCCTTACCAATCAAACTACCAAAAATTATTTTATCGAGCTAGAAAAAATAATATAACAAAATTCATCTGGAAGAGCAAAAGGTCAAGAAAGTGGCCTAGCCATGCCAGATCTAAAACTATATTATAAAGCAGCAATCATCAAAACTGTTTGGTACTGGCTAAGAAGTAGAGTGGTGGATCAGTGGAATAGGTTAGGTACACAAGACAGTAGTAAATAACCATAGTAATCTATTATTTGATAAACCCAAAGACTCCAGCTTCTGGAATAAGAACTCACTATTTGACAAAAAAAAACTGCTGGGAAAATTAGAAAATAGTACGGCATAGACCAGCATCTCACGCCATATACCAGGATAAGGTCAAAAATGAGTACGTGATTTAGATGTAAAAGGTGATGCCATAAACAGATTAGGAGAGCACAAGGAATAGTTAACTTGTCAGATCTATAGAGAAGAGGAGAATTTATGACCAAACAAGAGATAGAGAACATTATGAAATACAAAATGGATAATTTTGATTACATTAAATTAAAAAGGCTTTGCACAAACAAAGCCAATGCAACCAAGATCAGAAGGAAAGCAGAAAACTGGGAAACAATTTTTACAGGTAGGGTTTCTAATAAAGCCCTCATTTCTAAAATGCATAGAGAACTGAGTCAAATTTATAAGAATACAAGTCATTCTCCAACTGATAAATGAGCAAAAGATATGAACAGGCAGTTTTTAGATGAAGAAATTAAAACTATCTATAGTCATACGAAAAAATTATCTAAATCACTAGAGAAATTCCAATTAAAACAACTCTGAGGTACTACCTCACACCTATCAGATTGGCTAAAATGACAGAAAAGAAAAATGATAAATGTTGGAGAAGATATGGAAAATTGGAACATTAATGCATTGTTGGTGGAGTTGTGAATTGATCCATTCCTGGAGAGCAATTCAGAACTATGCCCAAAGGGCTATAAAACTGAATATACCCTTTGATCCAGCAATACCACTACTAGGTCTGTATCCCAAAGAGATCATGCAAAAGAGAAAAGGACCCTCACGTACAAAAATATTCACAGCAGCCCTTTTCCTGGTGGCAAAATATTGGAAACTGAGTGGATGCCCATCAGTTGGGGAATGGCTGAACAAGTTGCAGTATATGAATGTAATGTAATACTATTGTGCTATAAGAAACAATGAGCAGGTAGATTTCAGAAAAACATGAAAAGTGTTACATAAACTAATGCTGAATGAAGTGAGTGGAACCAGGAGAACATTGTACACAGTAACTGTGACACTGTGTGATGATTAACTATGATAAACTTAGCTCTTCTCAGTAATACAACGATCTAAGACAATTCCAAAAGATTCGTAATGGAAAATTCTATCTCCATCCAGAGAAAGAACTATGGAGTCTGAATACATATCAAAGCATACTATTTTCACTTTTTCTGTTTTTTCTTTTTCATGGGTTTTTCTCTTTTGTTCTGATTCTTCTTCACAACATCACTAACATGGAAATGTGTTTAATATGATTGTACATGTATAACATATATCAGACTGCTTGCTGTCTTGAGGAAGGGAGAGGGGAGGGAAGGAGAGAGGAAGAAAAATTTGGAACTCAAAATCGTATAAAAGAGAATGTTGAAAACTACCTTTACATGTAATTGGAAAAAATAAAATACTATTAAGTGGGAAAAAAAAATTCATTCATATCAGTAAGACTCACCCTCATGAGTTCAAATCCGGCCTCAGCTACTTACTAGCTATGTGACCCTGGGCAAGTCACTTGACCCTGTTTGCCTAAGTTTCCTCACCTGTAAAATGAGCTGGAGAAGCAAACGGCCAACCACTGCAGGTTCTTTGCCAAGAAAACCCCAAATGGGGCCATGGAGAGTCAGACACAACTGAAAGGACTCAACAACAACAACAATTTGTAATGTGTTCTTCCTTAGGAAAAGCCACCCTCTCATAGCATTTATCATCTCCTAAGTATTGATGTAATTGGGTAATAAGAGTTATACAAAATTTAAAAAGAAAATAAAGAAAAGAGCATCACTGAAACATTTAAAAACTCCCATAAAAAGCAAAAAGTTCCTTAGACTGACAAAAAGGGTAATTTTACTGCTATCATTCTAACTTTTAATATACACCTTTAAAATGTACATCAGAAAAACTCAGTTTCATATAGAATCTCTTTTTCTGTTCTTTGTATATCAAAACGTCTACATTTGTTGATGTTTACGTTAATAATAAAAAGCAATAGAAACAACTTTCTATTTTTCCAACATAGCGAACCTTTTCTAAAATTTCAGCAGGATGAATTTTTTTCTTTACTTCCAGATTAATAGTCAAGCCAACATTAAGCAGTCACTACCTATCAGGCACTGAGCTAAGCCCCCAAAAAGGCAAAAGAACCAGCCAACGCCATCCACGCCAAGCCTCGGCTCACAGCTGGGTGGAAGCCTCACAGGAGTTTTCTACCCAAGCTCCAGTTCCCTGGTTGGATGTCTTACCTGGATACACTTACCATTGTTTTATTTTGGAGCAGAGTCGATGCTTTTTGTACAACAGAACTTTTACAGGAACCCAAACTATCAATGTCACCAGCGCTACATAAACAATGGAGACAGACACAATCAGCCAGTAAAATGTCCTTTCTGCAGAGTCCTCTGTCCTTTGGAAGGCTGAGGCGAACTGTTCTGCCATCACAAGAGTTGGGACAGAAAAAGCGGCCAGCTCTAGGATCTCATAAACCAGGAGTTTGATTAATTTCCCAGAGACCATTCTGACACAGCCACCTCTTGGGAGAAAAAGCTTTCCTTCTAGATAATCAGTAATAAATACATGCAAAGATACCGTACTGAACTATGCTCAAGTTCTTTGCAGGAGCACACACATGCGCACACACTAACCACTGATTTTTTATTCTTTTATTGACCATTAAAGAGCTCAATAATCTCATTAACTAATAACTACAAGGTATCTGTGACAGTGATTTCCTACATTAGTTACATATGGATCACCTGAGTGGTGACTTTTGCACTATATTTCTTTGTATTGGTCAAAAATATTAATTATTACTGCTAAACCTAGAAATATTTACATACCACCCTATATTTACAAAGTTGTTAAGGTAATAACCACCTATCCCATACACAAATTCCTCTCGACACAAGTTGTGTTATTTCCATTTCACCCATTAGGAAGTGGAGACAAAGACATATTAACAATGGTTCAACAGTCAACTTTATTGGTATAACCACACTATGTTTAGGGCAAAAAATAAACAAATAAATCCAGCATTTTTTTTTTTTTGCTGAGGCAATTGGGGATAAGTGACTTGCCCAGAGTCACACAGCTAGTAAGTGTTATGTGTCTGAGGCTGGATTTGAACTCAGGTTCTCCTGAGTTCAGGGCTGGTGCCCTACCCACTGTACCATCTAGCTACCCCAATCCAGCATTTTAAAGAAGCCAATATCTCTAAGTTGTGAGATGTTGGTCTAAACCTAATTTCTTCCTTACTGCTGTCCAATTCTCCAAGCAGTTTTTGTCCAATACTAAGTCCTTATCCCAATAGCTGGGGTCTTTGTGTCTACTGAATATTAAGTTATTAGATACATTTCCTTCTGTATTTTGGGTACCTCATCTGTTCCACTGATTGATCTTACTATTTTTAAATGAGTATTACATGGTTTTTAATAAATTATTGCTTTGTAATATTATTTGAGATGTGGCACTGCTAGGCTCCCTTCCTTTTCATTTCTTTTCATTATTTCTCTTCAGAGTTTTTTGACCTCTTCCCCTTCCATGTGAGTTTCATTATTTTTTTTCTAGTTCTATAAAGTAATCCTGTGCTACTTTGATTGGCATAACATTAAATGAGTTTATGGATTTAAGTAGTCTTGCCTTTATTTTTTAATATTACCTTGTCTTTATTTCTGTAAACAGTTGTTTGTAGTTGTATTCATATAGTTCTTTGGTGCATCGTGGAAAGTAAACTCCTAAATATTTTATAATTTTCCCAATAATTTTAAATGGAATTTTTCTTTTTATCTCTTCCTGCAAACTAAGGGAGTGCCCATGAACTGAGAAAGGGCTGAATAAGTTGTGGTATCTGAAGGTGATGGAGTTCTATTGTGATGTAAGAAATGAGCAAATAGATTATTTCCAAAAGATATGAAAAGACCCATAGGAACTGATGCAGAATGAAATAAACAGAACCAGAAGAACAATTTATACTATGTATCAATATTATAAAAATGAGCAATGGTGAGGACTTTTATAAAATGATGAAGAATGAAATTAGAAGTGGGGAACAATTTATACAATAACACTGTCAAAACAAATACCTTTAAAAACTCTAAGGACTAGGATCAGTATAATGACAATTCATTATTCTAGAAGACCAGCGATGAATAAATCTTGATAGCGGTACCTTGTTACAAGTGATCTCTCACAAAGTAGAGGCAGGAAGGGGTGGGGTGGGGGATAATCTATAAATGGTAATATAAAAACAAAATACATCAATAAAACTGAAAAGAGAAATCAGAATCTTCATTAATAACTTAGGTTTGGGGGTTTTTTCCCCCCATAAAAAAGTATTGAGCACCTATGTTATCTGTCCAAGAGACCTAGGGAAGATCAGACACATAAACAAAAGACCACATAATAAAGACAACAGATGATAAGTATCGCAACAATAGCACAGATCAAGTGTCACTGGAATTCCAAAGAGGGAGAAATGATTTTCATTCACTGTGGTCAGTGAAGACTTCCTAGAAGAAGTGGCATTTGAGCTGCACTTTAAAGAAAGGGTAAGACTTTGATGGAATGAAATCAGGCATTCCAGGCAGGGCACATGAATGGAATGGACATGAGTCAAGACATACTTGGTAAATGGTGAACTGTGGCACTTGATTGAAGCAGAGAGGGTGAAGAACTGCACAGAAGGAAATAAAAAGTTCCAAAAAGAACGCAGAGATTTTGTTAATAAGTTGTTAAATTTTACATTTTTGGGCTGTGTCAGTTACAATGGCCTGAAATAGTTTGGCAGCAAAGGAAATGAATATCAATCAACAGACGCTTAACAAGTATTTCCTATGGAGGAAATGGATGAAAATGGTACTAGGGAGGTAGAATTAATAGGGATTGGGGGAAGCTAGGTGGCACTGGCCCTGGAGTCAGGAGGACCTGAGTTCAAATCCGCCCTCAGACCAGACACTTGACACTTACTAGCTGTGTGACCCTGGACAAGTCACTTAACCCCAATTGCTCTAAAAAAAAATTGATAGGGCTTAGCAGCTGACTGGTTGTGGAGAACAAGTGAGGGGAAGGAGCCACAGATGATGCTAAGGTTTAGAACTTCAGTGACTTGGGAAATGGTGGAACCATTAACAGAATTGAGAAATCAGGAGAAAGAGATACAGATTTGTGCTAGGAAGGAATTGATAAATTCTAACTTGAATAAATTGATTTTGAAATGTTGAGAGGGTATCCATGGGGATATTCCCCACATAGGTAGAAATATAAATCCGGAATTCAGGTGAAGGTCGGGGCTCCAAATGTCAACTTGGGAGTCACTTGAATAATAGCAGTAGTTAAATCTCTGAGAATGGATGAGTTCATACATCTTATCTATACTTTATATGTGTATGTATTTCTAATATTTTCTCCCTTTCTTTTTGGTAATCCCTCTTCCCCCTAATGGTCCTTCAAAATTTTGAAAAGTGACATCACATCTGAACCACCCCTACACCAAATCTTCTCTTCTCCAGTCTGGGATATCTGCCCATGGATCCCACAATTAGTAAGTGGCTGAGGCAGGATACCAACAGAGTTCTTCCTTACTCCAACTTCAGCACACTGCCATACTGTCTCTGAAGAGAAAAAAGGTCCCTTCCACATTTTTGCCACATATTTCTAGAAAAATGGGAAAATAGGTTCTCTGAGCTCCACAAACTCCAGTCTCAATACCAGGGTTCCATTCCTGCAGCTACCCCTCTTATGAGAAACCCACAATGGGAGATCTGAGTAGACAGTTCTAAAGACTATGAGGAAAAGCATGGAGACATTTTTATCAGAGGAGAAATATCTCTCTTTCATCACCCAAATCCTACATGGTCTTTAATGCTAGGTTCCACCAATTCTTTACAGTAACCACATCTAATTTATGATGAAAAATCTGACAGACCTGATCAGAATTTGCTTATAATGCAAGATCATTCATGCAATCATTCCCACAACCCCCCCCCACAGACATATTGTATAATTCAAGGGGAATGCCTATTCTTCACATTTCCAACTTCTATTTCCTTCCAGCATACAGGGGTTTGGAAATCGAAAGTCTCTTAAATGATTAGTCATATCATTTATGTTTCTATGTTTGTTCATTGTTTTCAGCAAGCCCTATGAAACAAAATGTACAAATAGCCAGGAATGTCCTGGCACATCTGCAGTTTTATTTCCTGTGATGAGAACTGTTGATGGGTCAGTAGAACTGGTGACTGAGAATTTGCTTTGAGAATCACAGCTGGAATCCCTGCAAACCTGAGGGGAGACGTTCAGGGAGGTCCAGCCAGAGGACTGTTTTAGCAATTTCAAGCGTCAGCTTGCTCATACGTGTGAGTACATATTGACAAACAAACCCACTGAATCCAATTCAATATCCACATGGAAAATATCTTTATTCCCTATCTGTTATAAGATCACTTTATGAAATGTAATTGGAGAATAATAGAAGCTCAATTTGCATTATCATTTCTTACATATGATCTCATTATTTCCCCTATTCAACTACAAACTCCTGGAGAAAAGGGATAGTAGTCTGACTCATTTTTGTATCCTCCCTCAGTATCTACTATCACGGTGCCTTCTACATAAGAGGCACTCAATAAACAAGGCAGCTGCTTTCAAATGAATTCTTCTATTATCAGTGCTATTTTCCTTTAAAAACAGAATCATAGTCCAGTGTGTGCTATAGCCAGCACACCTCGAGCTCACCTCGAGCCAACTGTTAAATTTTCATTGTGAGCATTTACACTTTGGAAATCTACAGACACTAAAGTCAGGCTTGATTTGCTGGTTGTTCTGACTTAAGAAAAAGATGGAGAAAATAATAATGTGGATTAAATTTCAAGTATTTCCAGCATTTGGTTGGGGGTTTTGGAGAGCTGACTGTTAAACATTTACCAGCACACCCATACCAGCGCAGTTCTACCACACACACACGTTGTGCACATTGTGTGTGTTGCGGTAGTCAGGGAGCTTACTCTCTGTCTCACATTCTAACAAGATCCACATCTAACTCATCTACCTGTGGCATTCAACTGGGGTACAGAAGCTTGGTTTCAGCTATCCCATACGTTACAGAGAGGAAACAACTAGAGCAAAGAAAAAATGCTGTTTTTTTGGAGGGAGAGTCTCTATTTTCTTATTGAAGTAAAGACAAAGTGAAAAGACACAGGAACTATCAGGAAGTATCATGCCCATGCAAGGTCTTCTTGTTTATATTAAAGAAAACTGACAGTATTAACATGCCTTTGGTCTCTGCTAATTTTGAGATCTGAGTGAAAGTGCACCACAGTTTGTTTTCTTAAGTCACACAAACTTAATCGAGCTAAGTAGAAGAAACAAGCTAAACACACTAATATCCCTGGAAAGAACAAAGGCTGCTAGTTAGAGGATCACATTTAGAGAGATATTAGGCAGATACTGTTTCTATTTATAACTCCTGATCATTGACTGACCTTAGGTATGCCATTTAATTTATATATGTTTCTCTGCATGCATGATTCTGTGAACCTATATCAGGGTTAGGCTATGGTAGTTTTTTTGTACCTATACTCCCACTTTGACTAACTGGTTACTAGTTGGTTACAGTTAGTTCTGACAGACCTCAGTCAGTATACTTAAGGCACTTAGTAACTGGTAGTCTATGAGTATTTGAAATTGTTTTAAAGTGTAAACAAAGCCATAGTGTGTGAATGCAAGGTTTCTTCTCCCTAAGTATGGCTATATAAAACACTCCTTGTTTCTGACTTGTTTCAATCTTTAGTGACTGGAAATAACTAGCAGTTGGTGCTATCGATTAACTGGATGAATGCTGAATGCTGAACCACCAACTTGAAACCTGTGGATTCTGATAAACTTTGGGGGAATTACAGACCTAGTAGCTAATATAGCCCAGGTTTACTGTTGATACTGAAAGCCTGGACAGAAATATTGAGAAAGTTTTGTGTGGTTTACTTTTTTTTTTTTTGGTGAGGGAGGAGGGAGAAAGGACCTTAATTCCATTATGAGAATTAGAGGCAGTGGAGTGGCACAGTAGATAGAGAACTGGACTTCGAATCAAAAAGACTTCAATTTAAATCTTGCCTCATGCTCTTACCAGCTAAGGAACTCTGCGCAAATCACTTAACCTTTGGACCCTAGGTTCCTCAACTGTAAACTAAAGGAGTTGGATTTGATGGCCTTTATAGTCTTTTCCAGCTCTAAATCTACAACTCCTATCATAAATTTCCCTCTGAAAACACAGACCAGCAACCTAAGACTTCTAATCTTATAGAGTCATATAGGGCATTGAAAGGTTAAATAACTTGCTCATGGTTGCAAAACTTATGTCTCAGAGAGAGGTTTTGAATCCACGTCTTCCAGCTTCAAGGTTGGCTTTCAATCTACCCCCCAACATTGCCTATGTATACTTTATGTATAACAGTGAAAGCATCACGTCTATTATGCCTTCAGTTGCACATTCTACAGTGAAGTAACCAATTTAAGAGGACAGAAGTGGGTGACAAACTTTGATGGCTATCAATCTGTCTTCCTACCTCTTTTCTTGAAGAGATGATTGTAGCATATTAAAAAAAAATTTCATGTCTCATCTGATCCTCTGAACAACCCTTGGGAGGTAGGTGCTATTATACCCATTTTACAGACAAGGAAAGAAACGGGCTGAAAGAGGTTGACTTTCCTGGGTCATGCAGTTGGTATTTAAGGCAGGCTTTGAATTTAGGTCTTCCTGATTCCAGGTCTCACATTCTAACAAGATCCCCACCTAACTCATCCACCTGTGGCATTCAACTGGGGTACAGAAGCTTGGTTTCAGCTATCCCATAAAAATTTTAGTCAAGGAGTTTGGATTAACTCAGAGCGCAATGTCTGAGTAAGCCACCAGGAGGTGGTGTACTCCAGCTATTCCTCACTCTTTGCTGGACCTCACTTTTTACGGGCTGCAATATCCCCTCGGGCTCCTAGAGGGAACTCAAAGCTTCAATAATCAGAGCTAAGCTATTTTCCCAGCCCCCACAATGACATCTCACCAGATAGCATTTTCCCCTACTTCCTGTGTCCTATTTTAGGACGTTGATAAAACATAAAAATATATGACTTGTTATAGTTATGCCTTGCCTCCAGACCCCACTCTTTGAAAAAATTCACTCTTTTGGTTCTCTTTACTTGGCCCCTATATATTTAGATACATGGCATAGAGAGAAAGAGAGGGAGGGGAAGGGAGATACACTCAGAGACAGAGAGACTAAGTTAGACAGAGACATCAGCTCCTAGGCTCACCAATGTGATTACCACACCCTCTAGTAAATCAGTCATCAGTAGATCTTGGGTAAAGATGAGATCTGAATTTCCTACACCTGTCACAGTGTGCCAGAGTCCTGCACTCCTCCACTCTAATGTAAAAGAGACCACAACAGAGTTAGGGTTCCGTTTATCCAAATCCTGCTCATTGCAAAATGGTTGTTGGTACAAGGGTCTCTGAATCTGCTATGAATCCTCCAGGGCCCGCTGGATCTTTTCAAAAGTAGCAAAATGGAGGCAAAATTCCCTTGGACTCCATGGACATTCTTTCCAATGACACAGATGACAATCTGCTCATGCCTTCCCTGTGTGCTAATGATGCTGTTCCACGTCTTTCCTTACATGGAGTCCACTCAACAGGCTGGGGCTATCATTGAGCTTTCCTGACATCATAGGGCTATCAATTGAGGATGTGAACTGATCACTTACCCTCATTCTCATTGCCATAACCAGATCATCTTCTCTGGGGACATGTTCCACTGACGCCATTCTTTACACAGCTTCTCCTTCATAGTCTCTCACCACGTATCTTTCTACTGCCCTTTGGATGACCCTCAAACTCAATCTGAGCCATAAAACAGAACAATTTCCAAAGACACATTAAATAAAATCAATTCACTAAACATCTATTAAGCAACACTAAGTCTGGCACTTTCAGGGACACAAAAGTACTGTTAAGATAGCATCCCCGTCCTTAATATGTTTACATTAGTGGAGGTGGGAGGAATTTACATATGTGTGTGTATATACACACATATACTACATATGCTACGTATTTCATGAGTAGATTAGCTATTTAATGAGTATATACCCATTAAATAGCTAATATATTAAAATCACAAAACAAGATTAAATGTTCGTCAAGTAGAATGAATACAAAATGCTATTCCCTCCTTCAGAGAAGGCAATATCATTCCCTTATCTCTACAGGAATAAGTACAACTATTACCAGTTTGTGGTTGAGGAAACTGAAGCTCGGAGTACTTGGGACTGGCTCCAAGTCACTTAGTTAAATGTCAGAGCCTGGACCAAGGACAGGAAGGACACAGGGAATTTCAAGGGAAAGAAAGGAGTCTCAGAGATTATCCAGTCCAACCCTCTCATATTTTACAGATTAGAAAACTGAGGCCCAGAAAAGTAAAGTGACCTGCCCAAGATAAAGAATAAAATAAAATAAAAAGGAAGTAGGTGGCAGAGCCAGAACTGAAACCCAGATCACCTGACCCCAAATCCAGCGCCCTCGACACCACAGCCTGTTGGATGTTGAGGAGGCTGTGTACCTGGAATGCACTGAATTTTAAAAGGAGAGGGGAAGGTTCATGTGGGATGGGTAAAATGGGACCAGACTCCAAAAGGCCTTGAATTCTAAACTAGAGAGTTTGAGCTTGATTCCAGGGTTGAGAACAACGAAAAAAAATTTCTAATTAAATACTACACCTCAAGACATTACTTTTTCCAGCTCTGGGGAATAATTACAACAACTTACATTTATACGGTGTATCTCAAAAGTCTTGGAGCAGTTTTAATCTATTAAAGCTTTAAGGGTTATATAGCCCATTTTTATGTTTATAAAGCATGTATTTTCACAACAACCCAATGGAGTAAGCAGTGCATGTATTATCATCCTCATTTGCACATTAGGGAACTGAGGCTGAGAGTTTAAGTGACTTGTCCAGAATTACACATCTAGTATTAAGAGTCAGGGCTTCCGGGAGCCAAGATGGTGGAGCAAAAAGGTAGTCGCTCTCACTCTCCCCTATCAACCTCTGAAAACCCAGAAAATATCACCTCAGAAAAAAAAAACCCTGGAACACCTGAACTAGAAGAAAGACCAGCTCGGAGCAGCAGTGCAGCAGCCCAGCAAACGGGTCTCCCAGTGCCTCAGCAAAAATAAGGGAGGCAGAACTACAAGGGGCCCCAGGCGGACAAGTACCCTGCAGCATTCATCTGAAACGAGGTGAGGAAAACAATCTAAAGGCTTCCTAAAGCCCCAGCCCTGCTGATTCCAACCCTACACCAGGTGAGCTATAGG